TTGAAGGTACACTCAAGGAATTGGATATATGTGAGGAGTACAGAATCATTCGGCGGTAATCATAAGTTTGATAAGCCGAAGACCCAAGAGGCAGTATCAAGGATACTAAAATATGCTGAAGACAAGGAGAAGGGCTCATTCAATCCTTCCAGAGAGAGGGACGAGCTTAGCCTTGGCTTGGAAAACAACGAGCACACAGGCCGCAACAGGGGGCTAGGGAAAAGGACAACCTGGAAGCACAGATTCGAAGAGGACATGCACATGTACAAGAAATATGGCAGAGACCAGGACGCTAATCTTGAGCTCCAAGTGAAGGCTCTAGTTGCGAAGGCGTTGGAGGAGCAAGGACTGTCTACGGAGCCACATATATTAATGGCACCGCCAGGAGAACTGGCATTATTTGGCAGCCCTCCGGAAGTTCCTAGCTACCAAGGTTCCACTGCAGCCATAACCCCCGTCGATCGCATATGGGAACCAACTAGTTGCACCTTGGTGTTTCTCAGCGGCTGGCAGAACATTGTGATGGAGGTGGCAACAAGTGTGGCACATCCTCCTGGTGGCTTACACCACAATAATAAGATACCATCGGACTACACTAGGGTCAAGGTGCATACCATGAAACCCGAGTTCATATAGTGCAGGATAGACTACGCAACTCCCGAGGGCTGGTGTTACTCGGAGATATAATGGGGCAGTTCATCCTCTGGCACAAATGGGACATTATATTGATTTCTTCTTCGCCGCCTCCCCCTCTCTCAAATTTGGAGCGAGTTGTTGAGGACGGGGAGATATTTTCACCGTCTCATGACCACCACATTCCTGAGATGCCACATTCTTCACCGCCTCCTAGTGAGCATGTGCCTGATAAGCCACAACCTTCTCCAGCTCGTACCGAGCAAGTGCATGATGAGATGCCACAGTCTTCTCAACAAGTGCAGCCAATACATGAACAACGAGTGCCTCCTAAAGAAGGTGATGCACAAGAAGATGAGGACGTGCCCGAATGGAAACTTCGAAAGAAGCATCCAATCACCATAAGGCCAATTTATGTTTCGATGAAAGACGTTTTGTCGGTGCACAAGAGGTATGCCCATGACCAGTTCAAGCCTGAGAACCAAGTTAAAAAAGTCCCAACACGGGCTTCTGAGGAGACCATCACTAGCAAAGTCCACCAAACAGCAAAGAACTATCCAAATATTGATGCCATCAAATGGTCAAAGGATTGCCCGAAAACATATGAAAGAGGCAAGCCCTTCCTACCAAACTAGGACATCTAGTGCCTACCACTTGGAATGAGAAGGTTCCATGATTGGTACTTGCGTGTTCTCCTAACGAGCATAGACCTCATACAAGCATGCTTCCCCGCCGGCACATTTGGAAGCCTAGCCGGGAAAATTATCTTTGACTTCAATGACATGCAGACATACTTTCATCTCGGAGCAATGGAAATGAATCTAATTCGCACGTGGTGCCTGTAAGTCCTTGCCCTCCCGATATGATATGAATATAATCTTTGGATTTTGTTGTAACTAACCCACGCCGTGATTTATAGAATGCAAGTGTACATTGTAAAACAAATGCCAAGTGTGAAAGCCAGGTATATAGACCCTCAATCTATAGCACAAACAAATTTTAATTACCCTAGATAGTGGAAACTGGATGCCAAAGAGCTAGCTGCTGGGAAGACCCTCCGGGAGAAAGAGGACATCCGTGTGAAGAAACTAAGGCAAGAGTCCCTTAAGGTTTCGGCACACATTGCCCTGGCTTTTAAAAATCTCGAACAACACTCTACTATATGGCTACCATTAAACTTCGAGTAAGTTTAACTCTATACTTAAAACTTTGTTTGATATATTTTATTTGATGCAAAAGAGCTTATCTAGTTCTATGATTAAATTCATGTAGCAACCACTGGATTTGTATAGGCGTCGATGTTGGGAGGAGCATGGCATGGGTCTTTGATTCAATAGATAGGGACCCAGTGACATACAAAGACTTCATATCGATTCTCAAGACGTATACATATCGACAATCCTCATTAGCTTATATGTTTGTATACATACTTGTAACGTTCACTTTTGGATACTAACAAGTTACATTTGCTAAAATAATTCGAACAAGGCATTCAGGTTCTATGTCAATGAACATCACAGAAGGCATGATCCAGTAAGGAAGGAAAGGCTGGCTATAAAAACACTATGTACGGTAAGTTTAACTTACTTTAGTACTCCATTACATGGCTGTCAAAAGCATTACTTAACATTTCTATATGTAAAATACACAGTGCCCTAAGTAGAAGCCTAGGAGTGTACATTGTGGATACTATGTATGTTCTGTGATGAGTAACACCGGTGCCCACAAGAGACACTCCTTAAGGGTAAGTTTGAACCTCTTCACCCGTAGTATAAAAACTTCGCACATGATATGAAATACTAAACCAAAACTAGTTCTCTTGTAGTGGAAAGAAGAGAAAGAAATAAAAATAGACACATAAAAGGATGACCAACTCTTAGAGCTCGTCGGCGACCTTTGTAACTTCATATTGAACCAGATTGTACACGTCCAAGGCACCTACCATGACCGAGATTCTGACTTAGGTAGAAATCCTCAGTACCAACACCTTCATGAGACTCAAAGGCTAGCTCTAGGCCGTTGATAACAATGTGTATAGAATTTGACATTGGACTTACCTTGTGGGATGGTTTGGACTTGTGGAACAAATTAGACTTATGAATTATGTCTATTTAATGATGGATTGTATATATTCTTGTGAATTGGACTTGTAATGGTAGTTTATATAATGCTCTTGTGCTTGTGGTCAGATTTGAATTATATATGCATATATATATATATATATATATATATATATATATATATATGTGTGTGTGTGTGTGTGTGTTCTGGTCGAATTTGAATTATAAATTTGATTTTTTTGGCAGAAAAATGTACTGGTAACACCAGCCGCCCCTATGAAATCAATTTGTAGGGGCGGTCTGGGAACCGTCCCTATAAATACATGATTTGTAGAGACGGCTTGGTAGGGGCGGCTACCCAAACCGCCCCTACAAACCCTCTAAAACCGCTCCTACAAACCCTGTGTGACGTAGTGAGTGGAGTCAGGAGCAAGACTCTAGAGGCGACCATCAGGGTTAGACTGTCTCCAACAGGTGACCCATAAGGGCACCCAAACGCAAAATAGGTCTTCGACAACACTGTATCAGCCTCCAATAGAGTACCTATATAGGAGACCTATTTTGGGTGCTAGGAGAGGCATAACCTAAATTTGAGTATCCTCTTTCTTGGAGACCCATTTGTAGAAAGGGTTCTCTTTTGGGTCTTGTTGTTGGAGAAGACCAAAAATAGGTATTGAAACATTTGCCTATAGCGCTACCCAGACGTGAAATAGGTCTTGTATTTGGGTTCCCATTGTTGGAGATAGTCTTAAAGAGATTTTACATTTTTTTTGGGAAGATTTCACATAAGGCACTAGAATTGTGGGCCTTAGTGGGCTGGCCCATGCATTAATCGAGCCATGCTCAGGTCAGCAAGTCATGGCTAGGAGGTCTAGGCACGGCACGCAGATACAGGTCGTGATGGCCCGAGCTTGAGCACTAACGGGACGTGTAGTGCTCGGGCCGGGTCTTAGCAGGCCATGCCTCGTGCCCCCGATTAAGCTCAGCCCATTCGAACATATATACTACTAAATCACAGTATCATGAGTAATTGATATTGAAGATGCTTAGATAGAGAGTTTGGACCGGGAATAGCAAGAACTTAAGTTGGGAGGCAAGAACAGCAAAGAGGGGGTTTCCGGGACAGATGTAGGCCATGACTAGTTCTTGGTTTGGTTCATGCCCCTCCTCGGCATTCTCAGATCCTTGCATATTGGAGCCCCTAGAGCCTTGTTTTTAGTTTGGGTCGACTTTACAGCCTAAGTTGGGCCCACTCAGCCGCATAGTCCATGACAACATATATCTACAGTTGCCCGTTTCATTTATGTTAGGCTCATTGAAGATATGACAGATCATTGTCACTAATATCTATTAGCGTCATAAAGATAGATTGGTTGCAGCATTCAAATCAGGGCAAATAGAGTGGATGCGGTAGCGGCAGGGCATATCTGTGTGTTCATTTGGATGTCTCGATTCATAGCATGTTCCATGCATCCGGACACGCAACCTTGACACACGTGTCGTGATGCGGCAGCGGCAGGGCGTAGCAGCAGCAGAAACGTCGGACAACACACAACGATGGCACGGCTATAACTCGAGCACGGCCTCCGGCTTCGCACATCAATGTTGGCATGGGACGATGCCGCTGAGCCGTCGTGTCCATTGACATGGCATGGCATGGCTAGGAGTGTCAGTGCCATGCCTAGGTCGAGACTTAAGTACGGTGACATAGCACGGCACGGTATTGTCCCACTCTGTGTGTTCATTTAGATGTCTAGGCAACCTCGCCGAACGTGTCGTGATGTGGCAGTGGTGGGGCGTAGCAGTAGCGGCAACATGGGACAGCACACAACGATGGCACAGCAGCAACAACGATGGTGCGGCTATAACTCGAGCACGGCCTCCGCCCTCGTGCATCAATGTCGGCATGACATGAGCCCGCTGAGCCGTTGTGTCTATTGACATGGCACGGCATGGGTAGGAGCGTCTAGTGCCATGCCTGGTTGAGGCTTAAGCTAGGCGACGGACATGGCATGGTATTGTCCCACTATATCTTTGTGTTCATTTGGATGTCTAGGTTCATAGCATGTTCCCTGCATCCGGACGCATCCTATGTCCAAGTTTAGAGAATATTTGTTGGAATTGGTAGAAAATAAAAGATTAAAGCATCTGAATTCGATAACAATATTAAAGCATACACGCAAACATGTTCATAGTTCAGAACGACAGAAATCACAGAACGACAGAAATAAAGCAAATACTAGTAAAGATACTGCAACACGGCACGATCTCCACTATTCAATACCGGACCCTGTTTCATTGGCATGATTACTCCTGATGTGGTGCGGCCTCGCCTTCAAGAGCATCCTGTACTGGGAAAACAGGAGGCCTAATGAACATGAATGGACGAACACTAATCAAGTAGTCATCGTCTGGCTCCCTCTGATACACCTCCCTGGTCTTGATATGCATGTACACGACGATGCCAGTTATACCGAGCTCCAAGAACACGAACTCGGCATTGTCCCCAGCGCCGATCACCATTACTGTGGCGGCGTCCACATCCTCATCGCCTGCCGTCTCCCAACCCTGCTCCATGAGATGGCCACAAGTCTCACGCACGGAAATGGTGTCCCTGAGCACCCACCCGTTGGTGCTGCCGCCAGCAGCACCAGCGCCGCCATGCCCGTGGTCGTCGTTCATCCTACGGAGCCAGACGTTGTTGACCATGTTGTCCCCATCCACATGGAAGAGGTAGAGGACAGAGTCGTCTCCCCGACAGTGGACAAAGTTGCCTGGGTACTGATCATGCTCCACACCCTCAGGGAGATCGACGATGAAGAATCCCTTGGTGGCCAGTTTCAGTCCCAGGATGTACCCCGCTTGGGTCGCCATGTAGATCTTGCCGCCGGCAAGCACAGTAGTTGGCAGGATCTGGACCGGCGACTTAGTGAGACGATCTGTGGCTATGCAGTGGATGCCCCAGGAGCCGGACCGCAGGACACACACCATCACCGTGACCGTATTGTCCGATGACTCCCAGGTGCGGACGTTGACGCGGTAGCACAAGGCGGCTTGCGGCGGCCGCGGGAGCACCACGGCCTTATCCATGTAAGGGTACAGCAGTGGGGAGCGCACAGAGATACCAGCGTGTTGGAAGGTCTCGCCGCCGAACTCGAAGAGGACGATTCCATTTCGGCAGTCCCAAACGTTCGGCACCGGCAAGTTGCCGAAACCGAAGTCGGCATGGTTGAGTACATCAGGTCGTTGCAGCAGCGGGATGAACTCCAAGCCAGAGATGCCGCAACTGGAGACATAGACCCCGAGTAGGCGCGGCCGGTGGCGCACACAGAAGTCAGGGACGAAGAGCCCGGAGGCAGCGCGCAGCCAGTGCTTGCTGGTGAGCGCGGCACTAACGAGGCAGCTCCGGCATCCGAGGCGGAGAAGGATCTTGTCAAGGAGATCTCCGTTGGTGAGCACGTCAGAAGCGGTGGTGTCTTCCTCTGCCGGCGGACGCGGTAGTTCCATCACGTTGGAGGACATCGCTCCGCCACGAGTTTCTTGGGTTCCGTCGCCGGTTGGTCTAGGGATCCGGAGGTTTGGATGGAGGGGAAGGGGCGAAGAGCGAGGAGTCAGAAGTTCAATTGGATTGATATTGGGCGGTTTTGTTTTTGGAAAGAGCTCGATTGGTTGCCTGGCGCCTGGCGGTCCCCTTTTCTTTTTATTTCCGCTAGAGGGTATGGAAAATTACATTTATGTCCTTACCTTCACTTTTTATTGCATGTTTGTTCCTAGTAATTCGGCTTGGCACTTTTTACATATAGCCCCCAAAGAAATGTTTATATAATTATACCCTTTTGCCAAAGCCAACAAATTAATAGATTTCATGAATTCAAGGGTATCGAGGGTTTAAGCATCTTTTTGGAAGAAGGGAAGGATTTAGGAGGCTAGCAATGAATAGGCCAAGGAATTATAGTCTTCTGCCCCCTTCTATTTTGAATTTAGTTTTATCTTTTTGTTGGTTAAAAGAAAACCCTTCACATGACCATATTAAGAAATAGAGGCCATGGAGTATGTAAATTAAGTAAAAGCAACAAACAAGTAAAGTTAGGAAAAAGAACTAAACATGCAATTAGATGTCAAAGTAAGGGTAGTTGTGCAATTATGCCTTATTTTGTGGTTGCCGCCCCTCCGTTACCCATCAAATGGAAGCCGTGTTATAAATAAATTGTATAAAACTGTACTGCAAACCTGCCTTTGGAAAACTAGGTGTGACGACAGTTGTCTCATACAATCCTAGGTCACCAGCCACGTTGTATATTAGCTGGAATCATGAAAATACTTTTAGATAATCACAAACATCGTATATGGAAGGAGTCATAACTTAGGTTGATCCAAATAGTTCTTTGTGGTCAGCACGTCCGCTATATATAGGTGTCATAGTGTCGACATATTAAAGGTCTGCTACGAATATGTTAGTGTCGACACATTAATGGTTTGCTAGGGATATGTTGGTGCCGACACATTAAAGGTCATGTTGGGCCATGGGCCTCGGCAAGGTGACAATTCCTCCAAGACTCAGTACAAAGGGGCAACAACAAAGTTAGAAATAGAACCTAAACATGCAATTATATGTCAAAGTAAGGGTACTTGTGCAATTATGCCTTATTTTATTGTCGTCACCCCCTCCATTACAAATCAAATGGAAGCGTATTATAAATAAACTGTATAAAATTATATTGCAACAAACCTGCCTTTGGAGAACTAGGTGCGACACTAGTTGTCTCATGCAATCCAAGGTCCCCAGCCGCGTTGCATATTAGCTGGAACATGCAAATACATTTAGATAATCACAAACGTCGTATATGGAAAGAGTCATAAGTTAGGTGGACCTACATAGTCATTTGTGGTTAGCACATACGTCATATATAGGTGTCATAGTGTCGACACATTAAAGATCTGCTAGGGATATGTTGGTGTCGGGCCATTAAAGTTCTGATAGGGATACGTTGGTGTCAACACATTTAAGGTCTGCTACGGATATGTTGGTGTCGACACAATGAAGGTCTGCTAGGGATATATTGGGCTGCCAACTCCTTGGGCCATGGGCCTCGGCAAGGTGACGATTCCTCTAACTCAGTACAAAGGGGCAACAGTACACAGAAGGGAGGGGGTATCAATTATTTAGAACCCAACAGTCTTCTTCCTTGACTCATCCTCATTGAGTCTTCCTTCTGTTGTTCATCTTCCTTCTCAAAATTCTCCTTGTAACTACACCTCAGATGTATCTCAACTTTAGTTCTTCGATCCCATGCTTGCTATCTTTAAGTACTCCGTTGCTCAGATTGTATCACATCATTTTACCAGAGTGCTCGATATTTGAGTTGTGTGATTAGGTTGCTAACAATTGGTACCAGAGACATAGATCCTAGGCTTCCTTGTTGTCACAACGCCATGCCTCTCGACTCCAAGCTCATCCTCGTGGAACTCGCCAAACTTTTCTTGAAGCAAGACGCAAAGTAGGATGCACGATGCAAAGTGGAGTGATGGGGCCAACAAGCCTCTCTGCGAAAGTGGTCGTATCTCTAGGCCACAACAATGGGAGCCATTCGCATGTGGGGAGTACAACATGGAGGCTACCTCAACGCATTGCACCTCCGACAGACCCCGTGAACCTACCATTGCCATGGGTGCATGCGTTGGTGCCACCATGGCATGTTCGCCATAGCCACCTCTCCAAGCATTACCAACATGCAACATCACCAAGGAGATCTATATGGAAAATGGCACCTAGAAAGGGCCATATGTGATTTTGGTGGTTGAATGACAATATGATCATTTGGACTAATAATGTTTGCAAGGATGGACTTCAACAATGCAATTTGAAAATCAAGTGATTAAAACTTCAAGGAGGAGATCTGTAAGGAAAATGGCACCTAGAAAGGGCCATATGTGATTTTGGTGGTTAAATGACAATATGATCATTTGGACTAATGTTGTTTGCAAGGATGGACTTCGCAATGCAATTTGAAAATCAAGTGATTAAAACTTCAAGGAAGGACGAAACTATTGTGAAGATCATATGAGTTATGCATGAAGTCCAAGACATCAAGTACTCAAAGCCCAAATCAGAAGACGCGAAGAATAGAACTAAACTGACTCTCCACAAGAGCACCAGATTTCTGTAGTGGTGCCCTAGTAGAGGCACTAGAGTAAAGGGTCAGGGAGGACCCTGACTATTCTAATCCTTGGTTTTGAAGACCATTGGAAATCATAGGTGATGCCTAAAGCCTAGCACTAGAAGATCCACTTTGCATGCTGAGTGAACTACACATACCATCATCCGACTTTGTTTCGTGTAAATAAAAGGGTTAACCCAGAGATGGTGGGATGGACTCTAGAAGCCTTATATGTTGCTCTAACCCACCTTTAATAACCAAGGTGGGACTAAACCCTTCATAATATCTCATTAACATATACATGGGCCACTATCGGCCAAATTCCCAACTAGGCCAGACGTCACATACACCGCCCCCCTCAAAGGGCCTGACGTCCTTGTCGGCATAGCACACCCACAACCGGGCAAACCATGCCTAAGAACATTCTCTCTTAGCACACACAACCGTGCGTCCTATGCCGACACTGTGCCATGCCGTGCACTCTATAGGGCCTACACGCGGAATGAGCCCCATGTCTGCAACCCTGTTGAGTAAACCACACCTACCACCATCCCACTTTTGCTTTCATCATCACTCTATGTAAAAGGATTAACCCAGGGATAGTGGGATGGACCCTAGGTTAGTTATATGTTGTTCTGACCCACCTTTAACAACCAAGGTGGGACTAAACTCTCCACAATAATATCTCATTAACATGCACATGGGCCACTATGGGCCAAAATCCAAACTAGGCCGGATGTCACACTCGACCTCGACCCGACCGATTACCAAGTACTCGAGCGTCCGCCATGTCTTTGTTCGATCACCGTCTAGACTACGGTCAACACAATCTCGAGCACCATCTCACATGGACTAATGCTTTGTGGCTGTGCCCAAGTGCTAGCTGTTCATGATCTATCCTCTGGCCTTTTGTCCCTTGGTCTAAGCCTTCTTGACCTCCCTTCACTCCTCCCGTTCCATTGTGCACGGACTCCTCACTTAACCTTCTCCGTCACCATCAACCGCAAACACCTATACATCACAAGCCAAGAGACATGTTGCACGACACCAATTTATGCCTTAGTCCACCACATCAAACCAAGTTCGGCCATCTTCTTCAGGGCCGTCTCAACAATTTCTAGGGCACTTGGGCAAGCAAGACACTATGGGCCCGATAATCTAATGTTTTAATATGACGATTGAAGTATATATAGTACTATTAATAAGAGACTAACTTGCAACATATATTTAGTTCATAAGAAAACGACAGTGCATCAAAGAAGCTAATGGAACGATAAAATAACTATTATAGTTACCTTAAATAAATATATAGCTTCAGTGCTTTTTAAAAAAACTACCTTCAGGTATTTTTTTATGCAAAATCTTTAAGGACAATATCGAGTGCAATTATTGTCTGATCATGTTCCTGCCTAGCCTGATCTTGATTGACTTCGGGATTACTTGAAGTTGGAAAAAACCCTATGTATGGCACCCTTTTGCGATTCCATGAACTGATCTTCTTGTTTTCTTTTTTTTCTTTTTCTGAGCTCTAGACAAATGTTTCTTTGGCAACATCTAACATGTTCAAAAACTTATGTACGGCCGCTGACCTGCAGTCCTGCACGCTGTCACCGCGCCCGCGAAGCACGCGGTCACCGCAGACTCGCGACTCGCGACTCGCGATTCGGAATAGAATACGAAGGGTCGCGGCCTCACGCGTGCTTGCGTGAATACGTACGAAGGCATGCAACGAGCGCAGGGCCGCAGGAGGCAGGATCAAATGGACCGTACCGTATTGCTATTAGCCTGAATACATGTACTGTAGGGTATACTCATGGCCCCCCAGTGTCATGGGCCCCCGGCCGTTGCATAGGCTGCCCCCCCACCCCCATGAGACGGGGCATATATCCACCATGTGTTCTCAACTATGTACTGGGTAAACAACTCTTCAACGAAACGGCCAGATTTCTTTTGTGCTTTGGACCGAGATCCAATGGTCTAGATCTTGTTTATATTTTTCTTCAAATTATTATTTTCTTCGTCCAACATCCTTTGTGAAAAATGCCGCACCGACCATTTGAGGGTCTCTACCCAATTTTCATCCACCACTGGCCTCAACCTCTCCATAGCCCATCCTTCCTCCTCCCTTCTACATGCTTGCGTGCCCGTGTCGCCCTATCCGTCTCTAGTGCTGTAGGGTGTGTTGTCGTTGTCACTTTTCCCGTCCCACCATAAGGCCAATCGGATGTCCACTACCACCCTCGGTTGGTAGCACCCTCACCACCTCAATACCCTGCTATCTCTATCACCACCGTTCACTACTAGAAAATGACCCTAATGCTACGGAGCACATTGCAATGGCGCTAATAAATGTGTTTCAGTAGG